AACCAAATTTCGGACAAATTCTTGAGCATGTCATAAATAGGGTCTCGGTGTCGAGTACTCGGCACATAAAAACTAAATAATTTTCACTTTTGTCACAAAGCCGATCGGATTACAACGGAGTCATTCGAGCTGCCGCGTGCCGTAGCTGCCGACTACACGTCATCGCCTTGTACACATCCTATTCTAAAAGTTAGAGATAAATCTGAACAAGCAGTTGTCGATACAAATCATGTTGTTTTTAATTTCAAATTTATATTTTAGTCATTCGCCTACACATACTCAATGTAACATATTACAGTACTAACAATATTAATTTTTCAATGGTAATTGTTATTATAATTCAATTGTTAGGTTCATTTCATGATCATCGAAACCCGTTTTTTTTTTATTCTAATGAATTTTGCTATTTGCGTTATTAAAGGTAATGACGTAGTTTGGTTTTTTTATTATGGGTTATAGTTGATAGTTTTATATTGGCGGGTAAGCAACAAAAAAAATATATAGACAGGTATAAACAACACCGTCTACTTGGTGATAAGTAGAGATGGGAGAGATGCGATCCGCACTAAGCGCCTCACTTTCTCCCTTTGCCTTTTCACGAGTTCTGTCTCATGCGGGGTTCGGACGTGGGTTGTTAAGCAATAGGATTTTATTAGTCGGATCGACTCCCAACATTCCCCGCCCGCCATCCCCAGTGGAGGGCGGAAGTCCGGCGATTTCTTCCTAACCAAAAAAAAACCTAGTGATGGGTAAGTAGCAGTCAAGTACATAGCTGAAGTATGTAATTTTACACACCACTAGCAACACAAATTCATTGATATACGTAATTGTCTTATTCTTAAAACCGGAACACATAATGAAGACATCTTCGCTACGTTAAAATAATCAAGTACTCTTTAAGTATATATGTACGATTTATTACAGGTCAGAAATAGATCGTTAAGAAAACAATTGACAATTTTTGACTATCACATCAATAAAATTTTAGAGCACATAGAGTCACTACTAAAAAAATATCTGAAAAAATGTTTTGAGTTCATGAGTGCCAAAATAAATCATATGACTTAGAATCGACCACCAGATCATTCAATGCGTTGGCTCGTATTTGCAAGTTCAACACTTTAGTGAAATATTCGTTTAAATCCTGGAGCTATAATTTATCAGGTTCACTGCGCTTTTGATGGCAGCGAACAAACATCTCATTCATTCAAATAAACTGTATTGTTTGGTGTTCGATTGTTTTTCAAAACTACATAAATGGACCACAGCTTATTGAATCACATTTTTTATTGAAACAATCTGATTTAAGTCTTATTTCAGACTTTTTCAGACAGGTGGATAACTTTCAAACAACTTATAAGATGTTGGAAGTCTACTTTTTGACAAAAAAAAATCCCAATTGCAGTAGCTCAGGTATCCTCTTTTGTATTGTGTGTATATTCATTTGTATCGGTATGTTAATATTTTTATTTTATTACGACATAAGCTTAATAAGCTATTTATTACCTGGCATAATTATTTTATGCAAGCTTTTCATTTTACTTTCTCTTTTGTCTTCTAAGAAGAGTCTTCTTAAAAATTAACTACTAACCACTTAATTAAGTATTAATTACTTAATTTTTCTATCAGGATTTAACGTTGAATGTCTCTGTGATTGCTTAAGTAAATAAGTCATTGTAGTTTATTAAAACTGAAACTAGATAATGATGTAAATTCAGGGTTTTTTTATTTCCAAGTTTTTTATTATTTTTTTATTTCCTGTTGGAGGTAATCGAATGTGACATCTCGCCTGTAAAGCTCTTTTTTTATTGCTTAGATGGGTGGACGAGCTCACAGTCCACCTGGTGTTAAGTGGTTACTGGAGCCCATAGACATCTACAACGTAAATGCGCCACCCACCTTGAGATATAAGTTGCAAGGTCTCAGTATAGTTACAACGGCTACCCCACCCTTCGAACCGAAACGCATTACTGCTTCACGGCGGAAATAGGCGGGGTGGTGGTACCTACCCGTGGGAGTCCGCACGGGTCCGCAAGAGGTCAAACTAAGCGACTGTTAGCGTTAATATTTGTATATTTCTAGAATCACATAAGTACATTTATGTTATTGAGTGGTAAATAGTATTAAATCTTATTGACAATCTGACGGTCCGTCCGCGATGAACCTATGTCAGGGACGCCCGATAATAGTTACATACGTAGTCATACTCATTACAACTTGAAATTTGATGGAGGCGAAACTGATGAGCTACTTTTAATAATGAATCGAATACTACGAACAAATTGTATACATAGTAAGAGATATCGTATCGTAACAATGAAGTGTGAATAAACTTTGTATGCAACAGTTAATTCATAATTCACTAATTAGGCTCTGACGTTTTCGAACTGGATTCGATTTTTTTTTTTTTGCACTCGGACCAACATCAAAATTGTAATCGTATTTATTTATACTAGAGATCCCGCAGTAGTCGAAATTCGACTATAATTAATTGGAATTGTAAGTTTGTCAACTATTATGATTGTATTTTCAACTCCAAGACTACAACACTATAGAAAAATATTAATAAAGACTTCTTCTTCGTCGCTTTCTTCATTACTGAAGGTCGTGTCCCTGAAACTCGACCGTTGCCTGTCTCGTGAGCTGTTTCCATCTCGTCCGGTCCTCAGCTGCTCGAATGGCGGTTGCGACTGGCAACCCAGTTAGAGCGGTTACTTGATCACACCAACGGCTAGGTAATCGGCCGCGGGGTCTCTTTCCTTCTACTTTGCCCGTCACAATCACTTTGTCCAAGTTATCTGACTGTCGGCGGGCAATATGACCGAAGTAGCTGAGGATCCTCTGGTAACAGATTGTTGAGAGCCTGACTCGGATGCGAAGCTGATCCAGGATAGATTTATTTGTCCTCTTGGCCGTCCACGGAATTCGGAGCATTCGTCTCCAGCACCACATTTCAAATGCGTTTATTTTCTTGCGCTCGGATGCCTTAATTGAATTAGACAAATAGACAAACAATATTTAATCTATTCTCAATTTGACCACAGACGTCAAGAACAAAAGTTTGGCAATAAATAAATAGTATGCATGCGTGTGTGCGTCAAATACATGGTAGTGTGAGTCATAGTACATTTATTGATTTAATGTATCTTTTACGCATTATTTTAAAAAAAATATTAGGTTTGTGCACTTCTTCTCTATATTTTCTATAAGTGTGGTAAATTTCACACTCCTCCGTCCGCGCAATTTTCGTAAAAAGGGATACAAAGTTTTTGCTTCGCGTATTAATATATAGATGCTGTTTTCGTACTATTCATATTATGTGAAGAGTGTGAGTATCTATTTGAAGTCTATTCCGAATTTCAGCATTTAAGCGAAACGATAACAAAAATCGAACGAATGTCAAACAAACAAGGTCGGTGATGTAACATATTGTGATGACAAGAACGAATCGATAACGCCATTTCTGAGGTACATCTTCATCACCCCACTAAACGTCATGCCGATTATTTCTTGTTTAACTAATAATATTATGTATTACGTATAAAGTTCAGTGAATTAATTACGGCCTAAATCGCGAAATATTTACAAATAAACTCCGATTTATCGTTATATTTGTATTAAAACGTGAGATCAGGCCAGACACGCTTGTTATTAGGTACCGGTCACATAATGTCAACGAATATTAAAATTTAGGGTCAACGTACTTACTCCATTACTAAGCACTAATTTCATTGTGTACACAATTCGCGAAATTACTTTTAGAAACTATTTCGAATTGTAAAACTTTCGTCTTATAAGCATAGTAAACTCTATTTGTATTGTAATGAATTCGCTCTGTTATCTATATCTATATATATAAAATTTAATTGCTGTTCGTTAGTCTCGCTAAAACTCGAGAACGGCTGGACCGATTTGGCTAATTTTTGTCTTGAATTATTTGTGGAAGTCTAGAGAAGGTTTAAAAAGTAGATATATGAAAATGCTCGGAATTAAATAAAAAAAAATGTTTTTCCTTTGATGTGTCCCCCGTCGGACGGATTCCTTTTGTTTGTTTTAAATTTATTTTTAACAAAAGTTTAGGTCTTTTATTTATCGATTGAGGCACTACGAAGTCTGCCGGGTCAGCTAGTTAGCAATAACGATGACGGATATAAAAACAGAAACAGTGAACTTCAGAAGGAGATAAAACGCAGCGTGATAATTTCACACCCAACTGGCATTTAACATTCAAATGTATATATGACTTTTAAACACACCCTGCTTTTTCTCCTCAAAAAACTTAAACTTTTCTTATTTTTTTTTGTAAGGACACTAAAGTTTTTTTAATAACTTTACATCACAATTAGCTGTTATTAATGTTATTATTAATCAATAAAGTAGTGCGTAAGTAAGTAAGAAACATTTCTTAGTAACGAAAAAACATAATCGTGTTTGATATCGCGACCTTGTTGATCTCCCGAGTCCATAAAAGACGTCATTAATAAGATGATTTGTAAAATCTAACACATATCTCGTCTTTGAATTTTCTTTATTGAAATAAAACGACTAAATAAACAAATAGAACGAATTTCAATAAAGCCAATCTCTTTCTTTCTTGGTATCTAAAAGTCTTATTGTAAGTAGTGGAAGCACACGGGTCAACTAAGCGATCTGTTCATGAAAATGTTAATGCATTTAATTGAGACGAATCAGCTTCCACAAATCAAAGGTTAACTTGATGGCGAATAAACAGATGTCACGTGTTAACCACTCGATCAATGCATTTGCGTTGTAAAATCTCGACACCCTTTGCTTCAATACGTTTTTATGACGACAACACGACGTCAGAACTATAAAAAAAACGTGCAAATAGTCTAAAGTACGTGCCCCCAAACATCGATTTGAATAGAGTTTCACTCGTTTTCAAATATGGAAAACGCTAATTCAAAGAACTGCGGTGAACCATCTACGTCAGGCTTATGTAAGTCAAGCTACCTGAAACAAAGGCGGGCATGACTCACCGCGGGATGAATGTGTTGGTGAGAGTAGAGTTGCATTCTGCGAGTGTCCAGAGAGTACGCGTTTGTGGGCAGCTCGTTCATGTCGAAAAATGACTCCGGATGCAAGCCTGGGGTCAGTCTTGGAACCTCATTGTTGCACACCCCATCGAGTCCTCCTCCATCAGTGCCTCGAGACACTGCAAACAATTTAATTCGTTAATATTAATTAAAATCTTTTTTTTCTACGGTTATCGATCCTTGTAGACATAAAAATGCGAATGACACGCCCCAGCGCAACACATGAGCGTTGACTTTGCAGTAGAAGTACTCCGTACTGCGATGGTCTCATTTCATATATGGAGTTACAATTAATAACAACAATGGAAATTTTCTTATTTAATAATGGTTTTCAAGAAATGAGATACTACTAGAAAACGGACACATTTGGTAGCGATAATTACTTTTATTTAAAAAAAACGATTAAAAACTCTTTAAGATAAATCAGTGTAACAAAATATACAGAAGCCATCCGTACGAATGCAATCGAAACTTCAATTCTATCTTAAGATTGTAAACTCTTCATAGGCATGTCACAGTGTACGATCCAACGAGAATATTATGATAAAATCAGGCGAGCTTCTAAAAGCTTTCTGTATGATTACATTGTCAATTAGCAAAATACATTCATAAAAAGAATTGTCTCGCAGAGTTTTAATAGCAATAATGTTAAATTTTAATTAAAATTCGAACGGGATTACAGAAATTACATTGCAGTTTAAAAACGAAAAGAAAAGCACGCTCAAATAGCAATACTGTACTAACAGCTGAACTGTTAGAGTGATGTTAAAAAAATTAAATAATCATCGATCCTAAATGTGTGTGCAGGTTTTCAAATCGACCTCTTGAAATCGTTGAAAATGACGTCCAAAGAGTCCATTACATACAAACAAACTCGTAAGTAACACGCTAATAAAAGCGCATTAAAACAACAATCTGTGGGAGCATGAATTAAATGTGATCAATGTCATTTAAACGTTGCAAAGATAGACCAAAGCGAGATAGCCCGATGGTGTGGCCAGGAACGCAAAAATAATAGGTGCACTCAATTGGATAACTGTAGCGATGGATGGAGCTGAGTGGGTCACGGTCGGCTAAGTGCTTCAGCTGCAGTGATAGACGTATTGTTTTTCAACACTTGTTAAACAAATTGTTTAATGAAAGTATATGTATATAATATTTTATTATCATTGCAAAATGTAAATATCACTAACGCTAAGGAATACTTACATATATTTTTACGATCATAAGAAATGGGAACTACTTTCAAATAAATGTAAACATGGTATGTTTTATTGTGATCATGAAAGCGAAAACGAATCTTTTAAAAATGAATAAGATTTATAGTAATTTATAAACCCATTTTAACGGATGTGCGTTTTATCGGTGATTACCGGAAATTTCATTTTATTGCAAACTAGTTCACCTTGCTTCAGCTTGTATTAAGTGGTTGCCGAAGCCTCTATATTTTATATTAGAACGCGAAGATTATGAGCCACACAGGTCACCATCCCGCCTGTGTCTGCTTTAAAGCAATCGTTTCCGTTTGACGATGGGGGGAGCCGTTACAGTGACATTAAACATTCGCGCCGTGATTTCTATGTGTATGCAAAATTTATTGTTGCTTGATCGAGGAGTTAGATTAGAGAATACTTACAAATCCTTTTTTTTAAGATTGAAGGTTTACTGGTGGCCCGGAAGCCTTTCCAGTTTCACCAGGAGATGTGGGCGAGCAAAGGCTCAGCCAAGATGGGTAGGATTTGCTTACAGCTGCCTGAGCGCCTCCGAAGGAGACCTAACAACTCAAGAGCGGCTGCTTCGCGAATAAATCTAGTACCAGATCGGAATCGCGACCCGCTGAGAAGATCCGGCGAGAAACTCAGCGGGCTGATACATGGGATAGGTTGCACGGTTACCGGGGTCCCAAAGCCTGCTTCTAGTGTTAGAGCTCAAGGCGTCTATGGCAAAGATTATTGGATCTGATGGATCCGTAAGGACGTGTCTAGGGCGTCGACGGTGAAATGAAAATCCTTGACACAGTCTCATCAATTGATAAAATTACACCAGGCGTTTTACACGGGCCGCGGCCGCTTCGTTATTAAATAATTAACTATAAAATCCTCAAAAAAATGTACTTATAAAAATATAAATTAAACAAATTAAAGACGCATACGCATTTAACACAAATACTGGTTTTAATTACGGATAGTATTGGATTCGGAGAAAAAAGCATCAGAATATTCGGTTTCATCGCCCCGAGATATGATTAAGTAAGAAGTAAGACCAATGTTGATGATAATGTCTAATTATCGTTTGTTTTATATGCTTTTTTCATAGAATTTCTAATTATGTATGTTATTATTATGTAGTGTAAATAATCTTCTATTTACTTTTGGATGATACCTAATATCTTGTTTATTCAGATGAAGGACACAGGTTCCTGTTAAATATTATTTACATTACGTTATTACGTTAGGTATTACATTATTTATTTCGTGAATAAGTATCTCTAATGCCTTAGTCATCCATGACCATGAATTGCAACTATAACAGTTTTTTTTCCTGCCTATTCGCTCGCAGCCTAAGGAGTTATTCCAGCTACACGCGGATGGTTAGGTTAGCTCATTCATGGGCTCAATCTGAAAGAAATTGCTAACACTAAACTGCAAGAGCAGCACATCGTAGAATCTACCATTGGTTCGGAATCCCGTTCCACTGCGAACATCCGGCGAGCAATTTTCTGGAAGAGCCTAAAGGAACCGAAAGTGGATCTGGGGGATCCCGCAAGACGATTCGGGCAACGGGGTCTTTGCGGTTTCCCGTCCCCTGAGTCGGATACGTAATTAGCGGCGGCCACGATAAGAGAGTTATCGTGTTGCGCCGCTTTGTCGAAGTAGCGTTCTGATGCTATCTTAAGATATTTACATATCGGTTCTAAGTTTAGATCGTTGTGAAGGTCGACATTATTCATGTACCGCGGTGCTCCTATGGCTATCCTGCAGCAACAGGATTCGTTCACCTGGAGAGAATTTAGGTGCATGCGGGCCCGTGAGCGAACATTACACTTTCATAGGTCATGACGGAACGTATGCAAGTTTTAAAAATTGTTACGGCGTTACGAAGGGACAATTTCCTTCAGATCACGGCGTACAATCAACCGAATAAGAATGCGGCTCGCTCGCGTACTGTCTTAAACAACAGTATTTAAAATGTCGGAAATAATATAGTTTTAATTATTACTAAATAAAATAAATCGATTTTTTAAACGGTTCGGGCATTACCTTTTTTCATTTGATCGTACTAAACATCCATTGAAAGCTCAATAACTACGTTTTGAACTCAAAGCTGAAACGAACGCATTGACCACTAAAAATCGAACCATATTTTTTTTTTATAATGAGCTACTGACTCTTTTGTTCCTAAAACAACTTTAAACATATATTATGCTTTATAAATATTTAAGTGTTTTGGCGACCCGCTTTTATGGTATTTTCTATAATACTCTATTTAAAATGTGAATCATTTCATGGAAAACAATTACCGTATTTTTTTTATGGTTTTCCTTTGTAGGCAGACGAGCATACGGCCCACCTGATGGTTAGTGGTTACCGTCGCCCATGGACTTAAGTAATGCCAGGGGCAGAGCCAAGCCGCTACCTACGGAGCATTTTTTTTTATATCTATTAACGAATTGTTCAGTCAATATAGATGAATATAAACTAAGCTAAAATTTGTCAGTATCATTTTCTTCTTAATTTATCAACCGATTTTAATTTTTCCATTTATAGACAGACGCTTTTATGGAAGCTATTTATGGAAGCTTTGGCGTTACCAACCTAACAAGTGGTAAAGCGTCTTGGGACGCCGCACTGGTAGTTGCCATCATCCTGTCTATGTCTACCGTTAAGCAGTAATGCGTTTCGATCTGAAAGGTGGGGTAGCCATTGTATCTGCTATAGAACTGAGACTTAGGACTCGGTTCACAGCCCACCTGGTGTTAAGTGGTTACTGGAACCCATAGACATTTAGAACGTAAATGCGCCACCCACGTTGAGATATAAGTTCTAAGGTCTCAGTATTGTTACAACGGCTGCTCCGCCCTTCAAACCGAAACGCATTACTGTTTCACGGCAGAAATAGGCAGGGTGGTGGTACCTACCCGCGCGGACTCACAAGAGGTCCTACCACCAGTAATAACGGTAGACTGCGGCTTGGCTCTGCCCCTGGCATTGCTGACATCCACGAGTGACGGTAACCACTCACCATCAGGTAGATCGTACGATCGTCTACCTATAGGGCTAATAAAAAATCGTGTTTCCGCATGAAGTTTAATTTTTTTCTTACTGGTAATCTTGTTCGTCATCATAATGGTATCGCAATTAAGATCGTATATCATACGAAAGTTAAGTGGGTACTTATGACTTTGACAGGAATTTATTAAGCATCAAGCTTATAGCGTCACGACGACTCTACGTATATCGTAGTTCCAAATATTTCAATTAATTTAAATACTTACCTATACGTACATATTATATTAGTAGACCAAAACATCGATAAGGTATATCGTGTCGATTTCTCAAACGGCAACCTGTCTATATGGGCGGTTACTGATGCGTACATACACAACTGATATAACCGATGACCCGTACATCAAATTTTCTAACAGATAATTCATTATCTATTTAATGTGTACAATATTTTCGGATCGTAATTATAAGGAAGTTAATAAAAATATTAAACTAAGTTTTAAGCAACGAATTTGTTGCGTGACCATTAACTATTGAACACTATTGAATTAATTGAAATAAGAAAACACCTCATTAATGCGTAACAATGCGAAATGCGATTGCTTATCGAATTTTAATTGACTTCTCCTAAACATTTATATTTTTAATATTTAATTTTACTCACCCACTTTTCGAAAATCGTTACGGAGCAGCTCCTCGATACCCGTTTTGAATTCGGGAAATCCTTCAAAATAATTAATGTTTAACTTAACTTAAAACATCCTTATGAAACACCGAGAATCTAATATAATTTGTGTTGCACTATTT